CATTTTGCAGGGGGGCCGATCCATCAACCCCCCGAGGGTGCCGTTGGGCCCTTTGTCGATGCCTTCCTTCCGGGGGGTCAAAGGGGGGGGTTATTCCCCCCGGCCCCTTCCAAAGTGGGCAAAAAACTGCCCAAACTTTTGATTTATCCTTGCCTTTAAAAAAAAGTTTTGGGGAACTGCGCCGGGTTTCCCTTCTCAAAAGAGTTTGCCCAGAAGGGGAAGGGGGATTTTGAACCCCTTCTTCGGGTCAACCCCCTGGGGTGGGCCTATGTCCCGGGGGCCTTCCTGCCTCCAAAGAAGGCCGGGGGGGGGGGGGGGGTTCTTTTTATTTTGTGGATGGCCGGCCCGGGGGGGTCCTTTTGGGGTTTTTTTTCCGGGGGGGGAAGGGTGGAATTTTTTTTCCTCCAATTCCCGATTTACTGGAGGGTTTTTCCTTTTTTTTCAGACGGGACAGTTGGTCCCCCCCCCCCCCCCCCACTCCTGGATTCCGAAAGACACACACACGCGCATGGTCTGTATCAGGAAGGAGAGTGGACCCTGTTGCCCAACCTCCTCCGCAGTCCCCCTGTCGGGGGAGGCTGCTGGCTGGAAGCGCATTCACTTTTTTTTTGGTCGCTCTACAAGGTTGGCGTGTTGTCATTGGTCGGCAGTTGTAGACAAGAAACGCACACACATGTGCATTTTCCGGCAGGTGCACGTGAGCAGCAGACACCGTTTAGGCAGCAGTCATGCGGCGCGCGTTAGTAGGTGTCGTGACACGTTGAACGCTGGCTGCGAAACCCGCGGCCAGCACACACCGCTCGTTCCCACCGAACCATGCGCGCAGGGTTGTGCTTTGATGTCATTAGTCTTCTTACAAATTGTTTTTGATCTGAAATGGCTCCATTTATTTTTCTTCTTTTTCTTTCCCGCATTTTCCTGCTCTCTCGGCGCTCCTCCGCCCCCGTCTCGATGCCTGACAGCGCAGCTTTTCTTTCCTAAGATACTCTTCTCGATAGTAGTTCCGATTCTGCGGAGCTCTCTGTTGCACATTGCAAGCTGGGCACACTGAGGGTTAGCACACCCCGCGTTGGGCATGCACTTATCATCGATCGACGACGTGGTGGGCAGACCCTCTTCTTCCCATGACTCTCTTTTCCCCCTACCTCGCCGTCTATACTCTCGCTGCCGCACGGTCTCACTCGTTCATCATCTGTCTTCCACAACATTCACACCAATATTCCGGTCTGGACGCCGTGGACACTGTTTTAGGTATATTCGACTCTTCTTCTGTGAGAGCCACCGCGCCGCACACACTCTCTCTGCCTCGCATTTTAATCGATCGACACCATGGATGGATAGACACTTTTACAACTACCTACCTACTCCTCCCACGACTCCTCCACCAAGCCTTCTCTCCTCTCCTCGTCACTGTCTATCGTACTCACTCGCTCATTGGTCTTCGACTTCATAAACTGCTCTCATGGTTGTTCTGCTCTCGTTGTCATCGCGTACATCTACATATATGCATGCAATGCGTTGATCTCCTCTTGGAAATATTCCGATTTTAAACGACCAACAAGAAGACAATCGATTCTCTCCGTTCGGCGGCGGCGCGAAGCGCCCATTACCCGACAATCTACCATAATCATTTGGGGACGACGGACCCACAGGCAGGGTGCACTCTGTGTGTTTGTCGTTGATGGCACTCAACCTTCAGCAGTGTCAGACACACAAGGCATTGCTGCGTTCGTCCTCGTTCCGGCCTACATCAGACACGTCACGGTAGATATACTCATCATGGCGGCGGCGCGGTAAGTGCCAGTAGCAAATTAAAAGCATTCTCTTCTTCCAAATGTAGATGCATGTAGTCTAGATGCAACGCCCGGCCTTCTCCATTCAGAATGCAACACAGCAGTGGTGAGTGCTGTTTTCACCTATCGCCTGGCCTCTTGCACTCCGTATTGACCTTTGCCTTGGAATCGCTCAGTTTGGGCGGGGGCGCGAAAGCGCCATAGCTTTGTATCTTGTTCCAAGGACGCAGTGAGTTTTACAGAGCCAACCAACCCCGCAAGCAAGCGTGTTTGCTCGGATCACCAAGGTCGCCCGGCTTCTGAATACTACGCCCTTTTATCTCTCCCTCTCTCGCCTTCGGCAAGGTCTCAGCGCACCGCACAGCAGTAGTAGTCGTTTCGTGTTTCGTCGCTCTCGCCAGGCCTCCGATCGATCGACCGACTTACCCCCGTGCCTGTAATGCGGGTGCCACGCAGTCGGGAAGCTTCGGCTACGCCGCGTACAGCGCTTCCAAGTTTGCGCTAGTCGGCCTGGCCCAGTCCTTGCAGATGGAGGTGGGTGGACCGTTCTTGCGTTTTATCGTTAGGGGGTGGGGGGGGGGTGTACTCATAGTCGTGCATGCCGTAGTCGTTTGACCATTGTTAGGGGGTGGGGGGGAGGGAATGACGACGCAAGGGGAAATGGTGTTTTTCGTGACGTCTGGGGTTCTTTCTTGTCGCCGCGTACTACAGCTTTTGCTGTGCTCGATGATTTGATGAGGAGAGGACTTTACTGGCTGTTTGACAACGCCCTGCTCATAATGGGGGCTTTGACTGCGCCGTTACTACCCCTTGCAATTAACTCGTCTTGCGCGCCGAGGAATTCAGGTGCGCAGGCTTGTACGTAGCGTGTGCAAGCACATGGTGGACCACCAGGCCACACCCTGATAGTCTCCAATAGCTCAAACGCAGATGGATCGCCTCATGGTCAAGTGCCAGGTGTGGCGATAGACGGGTGCGCACGTGGTTTTACACTTGGCACACGGCCGTGATTCTCCCTTCCTCTCTCTCTCTCCCTCTCTCTCTCTCTCTCTCTCTCTCTCTCTCTCTCTCTCTCTCTCTCTCTTTGCCTCTGTCTGTCTCTCTTGCTGTTTCTCTTTCTCTATCTCGGTCGCTCCCTCTCTCTTTCTCTCTATCTCTCTCTCTATCTTTATATTGCCCCCCCTCTCTCTCGGGGATGGTTTTGGATCAGGTGAAGGCTTACGGCATCGGGGTCGCCGTGGCCTACCCGCCGGACACCGACACGCCAGGGTTCGAAAGGGAGAACGTGGGGAAGCCTGAGGTCACCCGCTTGATAGGCGAGGACGCGGGAGGGCTCTTCTCTCCGACACAGGCAAGAAGCTGCTGCTGCTGCTGTGCTGTAGTTCTGCCTGTAGCTTAGGTTCCAGATCGCCGCACACATACGTCCATCGCGAGCGGCAAGCCTTGTCCTGGAGTAGAAGAAGACGACAGGGCTCCTCAAGGCAAGCAGAGATTTTTTAGGGGTATCCCTGCTCCTGGGCGAGGGATGCCCCCCGCCATACCCCAACAATAGCAACAAGTTTTGTCCAACCTGCGTTCATCGCCAGGTGGCCGCGACGATGGTCAAGGGCTTGAAGGCTGGAGACTTCTGCATCACGCTCGGCGGGGAGGGTTACCTCGTGGGGCTTGCGACGGCGGGATTCGCGCCCTGCTTCTCTGTATCGCGAGCCCTGTGCCAGGTGATGTCCGCCGGCCGACACCCGGTGGTTATTCTTCGGTATAGTACTTCGTGGTCGAGCCCCCTACAGCAGTAGCAGCAGTTAGCGGTAGCGCTAGAAGTATGGTGGCCTGGAGCCCTGTGCGGTTGCGCGCCTTCTAGTGTAAATTGCCCGTCACGCAGCCCGGGCACCCCCTCTCCGTTGATGCGCTCGCTTCCTTCGCTGATCGTTCATACCTCGCCGATTCCCTCTCGTGTGCTGGTCGCTGAACGATTCATCGATGGCTATGATGGTACACCGCTTTTCTTGTTGGATGTGGTGCAATATAGTGGAAGGATTGATGGTGCTCTGTGTCGTGGAAATTATTGACTTCTTCGGGCAACCTGGCAGCGACAAGAGCTTTGAGTCTGTGGATGAACAACGCAAGTCGTATGCATACGGGTAACGGTTAGTTTTTTTGTTCTTGGACTTGTTGGTTGTTGTGACCCTCTGCTGCTACCGTCGGTTCCATCCTGTTCCGTCATCTCATGTTGCATACTTACGCTTTTGCCAAACAACAGGTGCTGAGTGCGGGGGTCCTTAGGGCGGCGTCCTTCTACTACAACTGGAGATTTTACGCCATGGCTGCCGCTGAAAAGCGGAGAAAAGACGTGTCGAGCGCGGCGGCGTCGGTAACCGATTGACACTAGAATTGACACACTACACGTAGTATCACACGTCTTCTTCGTTGTCTTGCAGTTTAGTAGGGGGGCGGCCACTTGGCAGAGATAACCGTGGGTCCATTCAGCAATGATAGCGCCCGGCCTGTGTGATCGTTGGTTGTGTCGGATTGTTTTCTGGTGTGATGTGGTCTATGGTGTTGTGTGGTGTGGTATTTTTCTCTCGTCGTCTGTCGTTCCTGCCCTCAGTTGTTGTCTCAGTGGAGTCGATGCGAGAGCCACCAATCAATACAGCGCGTGACAAGTGCTTTTTAGGCCACGTTCTGTAAGATTTCCATCCGCTTGTTTTATTCCGTGTTCTGGAGAGTGGCGCCTCGCCCCCCCCCCGCGCGCACGCGCGTTACGGGATACGGGAGGTACCAGTGCTATGTATGGCGGTACACTCGTATATACATAGACTTCCAGCCGTAAACGTTGGCATCACGGTCACCACAGAATATGCGAACAGTAACAGCAGTCATTTGCGTTCAACTACCAAATATTGTCATCCCAAGGTGTACCCACGCACGCATGTGTGCTTCTTGCTTTAATAACTTAGTATCTTCGCGCGTGGGTGGTATAGGTAGATCGAATACAAATGATTGCTGTCTGTGAAGTACATTTGAGATTTTTTTAAACCAACCAGCTGTCAGTACCAGGCGTGCTTGAGAACCGACGCCCCTATACGTACACTTTTTGAGGAATAGATAGATATAGACTATAGAGGTGTTCAGCCGTATATCCTGAACTGCCCCCCCGCCCCCCCGGAAGTTTTTCAGTGTGATATTTCCGGCTACATATGCCCACCCTATAACCTGCCTGTTGTAATAATAGCTGTTTGTTGGTGGGAGTGAACGCGAAGAATGTCTAATGTTGTCGAAAGGCATCAAGATGCATACCATGTGAGAGGAAGGCGGGGGGGAGGGCGCGGGTGAGGAAGCAGGTGAAGGGCTGTGCCAAACGTACAATCAATGTACGCTGACCGTTCGTCATCCTCGTCACAGACACAAGAGTCTACAGCAGTCGCAGCAGTGGTACTGCACACACACCTACCTCCAAAATCCTGTCGATCGATTTGAATATATGTATCGATCATGGTCCACGATACCACGCAGACTGAATTTTCCAATGTCCACCTGCCTGTACTCCTGGTGTTCTCCACGCAAATAATACTTCGTAAATCCTGTCGTTCGATACGTGACCCCTGCGTCCCTCAACACCGCTCAACGCAAGGTGACGGTAACTGGTGATGTGGCAACGCCCACCACGTGTGTGTTCAAGTTGGATCATGAAGACGGCGGGAAAAAAACGCGGAAGGAAGTTGCAGCCACACGTTTGCATGTTTGTTCCTGAGACACGACGGGCTAACATAGAGAACTGCTGTGAGGGGGGCGACGTTGCAACAAAATCGAGCGAGTCTCTAATCACAAAAGGGGCAGACTAAAAACTCCGTACGTATATGTACACTATTTACACCGCCGCAGTTGACAGGCGCCCAGATGAGGGCAGACCTTGGATCCACACCAGCACAGCCTCACTTCTGTTACATATATAACCTAGCAAGTAGCGCCGAATGGAATCCAAAAATTCGTTTTTTTTTTTTTGTAGCGCGCGCCTTCTGCCTTTGCCCCTCTCTCTCCATCTCTCTCTCGCGCGCACACACCACGTTTTCACACAGACAAACAGGCCGAGAGAGAGAAAGAGAGAGGTCACGAAAGAGAGAGACGAACACACGGGCATACAGCGGCCGCATCTGCGAAGTACTGCGCCAAGAGCGTCGGGTCATCACCCGGGGGCCTCTTCTTCTCGGAGCTGAGGATCGGTTTTCCTACTACTACTGCCACGGGGGCGCCGTTTGTCTTCGGTTTTTCAGTTGGGCCGAGCAGCGCCAAGAGGGGCGGCCATCAGGAGCAGCAAGGAGCCGAAAACAATCAACCCGAGAAGTCCGTTCAGTGAAAGCGGGGTTTGACCGGCGCGCAGCAGCAGACAGAAGAGGGTAGTCAATCTCACCAGACTGGTTCGACCGTGAGACGAGGGGGGGAACCGGGTTACGTCCCAGAACACCGGCAGGAAGGGATCACGTATAAGAGCTGGGTTCGTTCGCCTCAACTTCTCGCAAGGGCAGCAGCAGCAGCGGCAACAGCAGCAGCATCGGTCATGACAAGCAACGGCGAGGAGGTACGGGGCGGTGGGGGTCGCCGCGGCGGGGGTCGCGGCGACTCGACCCGCAAGGCCGACCCGGCGAAGTACGACGAGGGCGCGGGCGGGCGAGCGGCTTCCTCGAACCGGCGAGGTGGCGGTGGCGGCGCTCGCCAATCTGCCGCCGACGCAAACGGAAATGGGAACCTGACACACAGCAGCAAGATGGATGAAGACAACAGCAGCTTCATGGGCGAGGCTGTTGATGACACAGACGGCGAGATGGCTTCCATTACCAGCTCCTTCTCGGCGTCCTCCCCCCTCAGCAGCGTGGGGAGCGGGGGTGGTGACGGCAGGAGGAGAACAGGCAGCGCTGGCGCCGCCGCGGGCACGAGCAACAACAAGCTGGCACCCCAGAATAATGGGAATGGTTCGTACAGGCCATCTTCATCGAACGGGGATAGCACGCAGGCGGCCAACGGCGGCGGCGGCGCGCAGGCCATCCCGGGAGTGGCCACGCGGCCGGCGGGAGTCCCCTTCGGCGCCAGTGCCCTGAGCAAGAACATGCCGAACAGTGGCCGGGGACGCCCACGAGGCCTGCGTCCTCGCGGCACGGGCACCACGCCAAGAAGCGGCGGCGGCGGCGGCGCACAGCGCATTCCCTCATTCTCAGGTTCCGCTGCCTCGTCGACGCAGCAGCAGTTCGGCAGCACCGGCGGCAGTTCATCCTCCTCCGCCCGACGCGGCGCGCCTGGCAGCGCTAATCGCAAGGACGTCGAGGCGAGGGCGGCCGGGGTGCTGGCCCCGGGGGTCCCCGTGGAGGTGGCGGTGAAGGCGGCGATCAAGATCGAGTCGGTGATACGGGTGCTGATCGCGAGGGGCTACGTGCGGCGAAAGCTCGTGTCGGAGGTGACCGCCTTCTCGCTCATCATGGAGCGCGGTATCGAGGTAATCAAGGTGAGCGAGAGGGGGAGCGGGGTAGCAGGCTAGGTTGCTATGAAAGGTCCTGTTTCTGTGTGGGGAGGCCTGCTTACGGACTGCTGCCGTTGTCGTCTCTTTTCTCTCGTCATTTTTGTTTGTTTCTCTCGTTTTTCTGTGAGAGAATGTCTTTCGATTTTATTCCGTCTGCAGCGGCCGGCCGTTGGTTCTAGCCGCTTGCGTGAATCGGCGCTCTCGATCACCTCGTCGTTGCTTCCGGTGTAGAATTAGCAATGCTGCTGCTGCTGCTGCTGCTCCTGCTGCTGCTACCCATCGAAGGTTTTTCCAAAATGCGAGCAGAGAGGTGCCGCATACGGGGCGGTGTGACTTGTTCCATTCATGAAGAAACAGCGTGTGTCTGTCTCTTCTTATTCTATCTCTCTCCCACGTTTCTCGTTTATCTACTTTGCGCGAGACCTGGCAACATGTTGTTAGCAGCTGCTGTCGAATGTGTTGTGGTGCGTCCTTCGCTTCCGGGAACATTCGGAGCAAAGCCTTGGCTGCCTTGTTCGGTGCTTCTGTTGTGTTGGGTAGGGGGAAAGGTAGTAGATTTGGTGGCGAGCGTCTTGCGCAGTACCATTGGTACACGAAGCAGGCAGCGGTTCGGTTCGGCAGCAAATTCTGGCAGCAGTAGCATAGGAGTACGAAGTATCATACACACGACCTCACACGACACGAGATAGAAGGCTCGAGTGTGTCACCGAGAGAGAACAAAAATGTTTCCGAACGTACGTAGATATGCGTACTCTGGCATCCTCGCAAAAGTTTCAAGTTTCGAAACGCAGGATATATACAATCGTCCCCCCCAAGCAAGAAAATAAGCTTTAAAAGCAAAATCCGTTAGTATTTGCGTACCACGAACGCCAGAGGGCGCCCGTTGGTATGCATATTTGGTACCAAAGCAGTAGATGGGACCTTGGCTTGAGACCATCCTTCACCCAAAACGGATCTACCAGCAACAGCTAGAGAGCACAGCAATTTTTCTTACCACAGCGCACATATAAAATACATGCACGCCCGCCTACCTTGTATGTACGCATGCGGACACAACGTATCAATGTTCGTACTTCCCTCTGCCGTATGTAGCGTACAGTATGTACCTCTCTGCCAGCACCAACCACGTAGTGAGTTTTGAACTCGAGGCAGACATATAGATGCCTGCTGGCTGCTGCTGTAGGCCCGGGAGGAGGTTCCGAAAATCGAGAGTCATCAAATCAAACCAAGCATGAGAAACGACGCGGGGTTTGTACCCACCCCCCTTGGCAACTGAATTTAACCTTCTTCTATCTAAATTACTTAATTTTTTTTTCGGGCACCGCTTGCATAACAAGTCAACGATAACGAACGATTGTACTGCGGTTGTCGATGTTCCGGTACTTCGCCAAGAATCATCCCGATCCTTCGCCAAGAGCCAGCCGATTGTAACGTACTTGGCACAACGTCTTTTTTGGTTCGTTGGCGGCGCCGCAGCAGTGAGAAATATGAAATCAGGACACCGCCGAGAGGGCGAGCTACCGGGCTCAAGAACCGAAAACAATATTGCTGTACATCAAAACTATTCTTCCTCTGTCTTTGCGCCCATGCCACGTATGAAGTGGAGTGAAAAGAAAAAAAGAATGGGCGCTCGCACAGCTGGATGTGTCACCTATGAAATAGTTGCTCTTCTCATCGCAAGTGTTACGGTTTGCCTGCTGCAAGTGCCCCGTCCTCGCCGCAAGTGCTAATTAATGCCGTCGAAACTGTTGTTCTCCCCTCGCTCCTCCTCCCTCTTCCCTCGCCCCTTACGTGTGTTTCGTCGTTTTGCCGAACTATTTTATTCGTCGAGTGTAGCACCCCTTCAGCGGCAAGGGCAAGCCCAAGAACGTCACGGTGAACTTCGTCTCTCGGAAGGGCGCGATGCAGCTTAGCTGGGGGGGCAAGAGTGGGGTACCCCTGGAGACCATCTTCGGAGTGACCAAGGGCATCAACACGGACGTAAGTGCGCACTTTCGTGAACTACCTCTGCGTGCGTCGCTGGTTATTGCTTTAAAATATTTTAGCACGGTTTGGCGGCGGTGGGTTCATTCCCGTTGCCGCCAACAGAAGGGAAGGTAGTGCGTGAGGAGCACGGGGTAGAAAAAGTTTTGGGGGCGTTTTTTCTCGACCGACTCGCGTGAACAAAATAAAAACGCCAGCTCTACCCCCCCCAGGCTGTCTTGCACAGTATTCTCGAACGACGATTGGCGGCCTATTTCTCTCTGTTGCGACCTACATGCTACACGTGCGGCATTTCCTGTTACAGCAGCCCCGTTGGCTTGGACGTTCTTCGGTGATGATGACTTACCTCCCTTCACCTGCACATCTAAGGCGGCAATGTATGCTTGACCTCGCGCGTGTTGTTAAATTCCCTCGAACCCCCCCCCCTCCCCCTCACACGGTACACAGGCCCTTAAGAGCGTGGTGAGCCCGGACCGAGCGGAGAACTGCTTCTCGCTGCACACGCAGGACCGCACGATAGACTTCGAGGTGGACAACCCGTGGCTCGTTCTCCTGGTGGTGCGGGCGCTGCGGCTCTTCCTCGGCGCGCACTACGACACCCTCCCGGCCCCCACGTTCTTCTCGCACCTGTGCCTGCGCCCGCGGGGTGCCGCCGCCGGCGCCAACAGCCGGACGGATAGCCCCAAGCAGTCCCTGGTGTGGACTAGCGCGGATAAGGAGCCGCCCGTGTCACCACTGCCCAAGGAGCAGACGACTAGGTCCACCCCCACGGAGCGGGCCTCGCGGGACTCGGCCTCGGACGAGGGCGACGACCGCGACGGCGACGGCCAGAGGCCTCCCTTGCCCTGGGAGGGCGGCGGCGGCGGCGGCGGCGAGCTCGACAGCGCGGCCGGCAGCACCATGTTCGAGGCGGTCCCGATGGGGGAGGGCATGGTGTACCCGCCGGCGCCGGACGGCCATGCCCCCGGAGCGGGATCAGCGGCCCGCGCTCCCCGCCCCCCCCGCGTGGTGGCGGCCGGGGAGGACGGTGAGGAAGGGATGCCCGTCACCGACTTCGCGGACGAGGAGGACGACGGGCATGGTTCGGCGGACCGGTCTCCGGGAGGGATCATGGCGCTGTTCTCGTCCGGTGGGAGGCGGAGCGCGGAGGAGTCGAGCGTCGGCAGCGCGGCCGGGTCGATCCCCAGGAGCAGGAGCGGGGTGGAGGGCGGCGGAGGGGTCGACTCTTCGACGGGCGGGACGACGCCCAGGGGTCGGGAGGCGGAGGCTGGTGGTGGGCCGAGCGCCGGCGCCGGCGGCGGTGAAGGTGCTGGGCAGCTGACGGCGTCGCAGGTGCTGGCGACCCGGGGCATGACAAAGAGGCTGAACCTGTCGAAGAAGCTCGCGGCGAACAACACGGGGCCGCTGAAGGGGAGGAGGTTCGACCTGATGGCGCTGCCGATGGACCCTGGGCAGCAAGACCGGCGGGACAGAGGGATGAGCGAGCACGCGGAGACAACAACTAGTGAGTCTGGCCTCAAGTCTTGCCTTGCCTTGGGAGGCTTTTTTTTGTTTCTTGTCCTACCCGTCCGTGCGCCCGAGTTTGTGTTTGGTTCTTAGCGCGGTGGGAGAGAGTGTTCGGGTGGCAGTGTTTCTTTGTCGGGGAGATTTTGACCGGCGAGGCGTTTTTGTGTTGCGGAGGAGGCCCGTGCTCGGCCCCCGGGTGTTGCACAACACGCGAGCGGAGCGTCCGGTGTCCAGCACCAGCATCGTACTCAGTAAGAGCGCGGGGTGATGACGAACTCGTCGTGTTTTTTTCTGCTGTGCTTTGGGCGTGACTCCGCTGACTCTCGCACTTGACTGTTGTCAAGCGACGTTCCCCCGACTTCCTAACGTGCTCCAGTTCCTGACGTGCTCGAGCTGTTCTTTTGTTGTTGTTTTTGTTGTCACGATCCTTGATGTTTGTTCACGCCGCCGCTCTGGCCCCCTTGCGTGTTCCTTCTGTGGGGCGCTGCTGCAGAACGTTCGCAAGGAATGTCGATTTCTATCGGCGCTGGTTACACCCTCCCGGAAGAGAAGAACAGATCGAAGGGCCTTAACGGCGAAGGGGCAGACGAGGGAACGCCGAGCATGCTAGGGCTAGACTCTGGGCGCACCGCTGTCGTGGACGATCTCAACGACAAACTCCAGGCAAGTGTGGCGTTAGAGTCACATTGGTGCGCGTTCAGAGACAGAGAGAAGTCCTGTACTACCCAAGCCAGGCACTTCGCACAGCAAGATCAGCGACAGCGATATGTAGTTCAACAAGTGTTGAGCAAAAGCGGCAGCGCGGAATTCTGGCGAGGGCTGTCGTCAAAGGAGGGCGTTTTAAGCTCACCAGCGACCGCAGCGCCATCCCGCCCGATGCATCCCGCCACCTTGCCATCGTTTGTTTCCCGTCTGACGCCTAGGCAACTTCGTCCCCCCCCCCCCCCCCC